CAGTCTCTGTACTGTCCTCTACACTGCTCCATAGACTACACAGGGACAGCATCAGTCTCTGTACTGTCCTCTACACTGCTCCATAGACTACACAGGGACAGCATCAGTCTCTGTACTGTCCTCTACACTGCTCCATAGACTACACAGGGACAGCATCAGTCTCTGTACTGTCCTCTACACTGCTCCATAGACTACACAGGGACAGCATCAGTCTCTGTACTGTCCTCTACACTGCTCCATAGACTACACAGGGACAGCATCAGTCTCTGTACTGTCCTCTACACTGCTCCATAGACTACACAGGGACAGCATCAGTCTCTGTACTGTCCTCTGCACTGCTCCATAGACTACACAGGGACAGCATCAGTCTCTTTACTGTCCTCTACACTGCTCCATAGACTACACAGGGACAGCATCAGTCTCTGTACTGTCCTCTACACTGCTCCATAGACTACACAGGGACAGCATCAGTCTCTGTACTGTCCTCTACACTGCTCCATAGACTACACAGGGACAGCATCAGTCTCTGTACTGTCCTCTACACTGCTCCATAGACTACACAGGGACAGCATCAGTCTCTGTACTGTCCTCTACACTGCTCCATAGACTACACAGGGACAGCATCAGTCTCTGTACTGTCCTCTACACTGCTCCACAGACTACACAGGGACAGCATCAGTCTCTGTACTGTCCTCTGCACTGCTCCATAGACTACACAGGGACAGCATCAGTCTCTGTACTGTCCTCTACACTGCTCCACAGACTACACAGGGACAGCATCAGTCTCTGTACTGTCCTCTACACTGCTCCATAGACTACACAGGGACAGCATCAGTCTCTGTACTGTCCTCTACACTGCTCCATAGACTACACAGGGACAGCATCAGTCTCTGTACTGTCCTCTGCACTGCTCCATAGACTACACAGGGACAGCATCAGTCTCTGTACTGTCCTCTACACTGCTCCATAGACTACACAGGGACAGCATCAGTCTCTGTACTGTCCTCTACGCTGCTCCACAGACTACACAGGGACAGCATCAGTCTCTGTACTGTCCTCTACACTGCTCCATAGACTACACAGGGACAGCATCAGTCTCTGTACTGTCCTCTACACTGCTCCATAGACTACACAGGGACAGCATCAGTCTCTGTACTGTCCTCTGCACTGCTCCATAGACTACACAGGGACAGCATCAGTCTCTGTACTGTCCTCTACACTGCTCCACAGACTACACAGGGACAGCATCAGTCTCTGTACTGTCCTCTGCACTGCTCCATAGACTACACAGGGACAGCATCAGTCTCTGTACTGTCCTCTACACTGCTCCACAGACTACACAGGGACAGCATCAGTCTCTGTACTGTCCTCTACACTGCTCCATAGACTACACAGGGACAGCATCAGTCTCTGTACTGTCCTCTACACTGCTCCATAGACTACACAGGGACAGCATCAGTCTCTGTACTGTCCTCTACACTGCTCCATAGACTACACAGGGACAGCATCAGTCTGTACTGTCCTCTACACTGCTCCATAGACTACACAGGGACAGCATCAGTCTCTGTACTGTCCTCTACACTGCTCCATAGACTACACAGGGACAGCATCAGTCTCTGTACTGTCCTCTACACTGCTCCATAGACTACACAGGGACAGCATCAGTCTCTGTACTGTCCTCTACACTGCTCCATAGACTACTCGACAGAGACAGAGGCAGAGGCAGAGGCAGAGACAGAGGCAGAGGCAGAGACAGAGGCAGAGGCAGAGGCAGAGGCAGAGACAGAGGCAGAGACAGAGACAGAGACAGAGGCAGAGGCAGAGGCAGAGGCAGAGGCAGAGACAGAGGCAGAGACAGAGACAGAGGCAGAGGCAGAGGCAGAGGCAGAGACAGAGGCAGAGGCAGAGACAGAGGCAGAGGCAGAGAGCAGAGGCAGAGGCAGAGGCAGAGGCAGAGGAGGCAGAGGCAGAGGCAGAGGCAGAGGCAGAGGCAGAGACAGAGACAGAGACAGGCAGAGGCAGAGAGAGACAGAGACAGAGACAGGCAGAGACAGAGACAGGCAGAGACAGAGACAGAGACAGGCAGAGACAGAGACAGAGGCAGAGACAGAGACAGGCAGAGACAGAGACAGAGGCAGAGGCAGAGACAGAGACAGAGACAGAGGCAGAGACAGAGGCAGAGGCAGAGACAGAGACAGAGGCAGAGACAGAGACAGGCAGAGACAGAGACAGAGACAGACAGAGACAGAGACAGAGACAGAGGCAGAGGCAGAGGCAGAGGCAGAGGCAGAGGCAGAGGCAGAGACAGAGGCAGAGAGAGACAGAGACAGAGGCAGAGGCAGAGACAGAGGTAGAGACAGGCAGAGACAGAGACAGAGGCAGAGGCAGAGACAGAGACAGAGGCAGAGGCAGAGGCAGAGACAGAGGCAGAGGCAGAGGCAGAGGCAGAGACAGAGACAGAGACAGAGACAGAGACAGAGACAGAGGCAGAGACAGAGACAGAGGCAGAGGCAGAGGCAGAGGCAGAGGCAGAGGCAGAGGCAGAGGCAGAGGCAGAGGCAGAGGCAGAGGCAGAGACAGAGGCAGAGGCAGAGGCAGAGGCAGAGGCAGAGGCAGAGGCAGAGGCAGAGGCAGAGGCAGAGACAGAGGCAGAGACAGAGGCAGAGGCAGAGGCAGAGGCAGAGACAGAGGCAGAGACAGAGGCAGAGGCAGAGGCAGAGACAGAGAGAGAGACAGAGACAGAGACAGAGGCAGAGGCAGAGGCAGAGACAGAGGCACATGATTCTTAGTGCCAAATAAATGTGTGTCTCTCATGCACAGGTTCTCTGTCTCTGGTTCTCTGTCAGGTTCTCTGTCAGGTTCTCTGTCTGGTTCTCTGTCTGGTTCTCTGTCTGGTTCTCTGTCTGGTTCTCTGTCTGGTTCTCTGTCTGGTTCTCTGTCTGGTTCTCTGTCTGGTTCTCTGTCTGGTTCTCTGTCTGGTTCTCTGTCTGGTTCTCTGTCTGGTTCTCTGTCTGGTTCTCTGTCTGGTTCTCTGTCTGGTTCTATGTCTGGTTCTCTGTTAGCAGAGGTCGAGCTGTGTTACTTTACATTGAGTCCTATGGGGCTTTTTTCTGGGTAACAGGAATTTGGTCTGCAGTGCCACAGCGCCCCCTGTGGCTATGGGTGGAACAACTATCTAGAGAAACACTATCCAGATATTATTATCGATCCACGGGACACACCAGCTAACATTGGTGTTTGGTAACTCGGCCGTTAGTAGCAACAACATGAACATACATCTGATCCCACACTCCTGTAGCCCGTTCGCGGTCAGTCCACTCTAATACACACTCTAAAACACAAACATATACTTGTGCTCATAAGTTTTCATATCCTGGCAGATTTTATAGTATTTTGGGTATTATTCAGAGGATAGTCATATTTTTCCCAGTCATAGTCAGTGGTTTTAGTGACGCCCTTTACTCTCATGAATGGTTTCCTTTGTGTTTCTGCTCCAGTATCATTTACAAGGAGCTAAGACCGTTGCCATAACAACAAAGTGCATGTGTTATCGATCACACCGGTTAGAAATGGTCATGAAGTTTAGTTTAGTTGTGTATTTGGATGGGAAAGTGTGGAGATAGTGCCAGGGCATTAAAATCACAACTGTGTCTGTTCTCCTCTGGGCATTAAACAGGATATAAACAATGCAGCAAATATTTCACAATAGTTTCAGGCCGTTTGACTGTTATTAAACCAACGACAGGATTTCTGTTTGTTCAGGAGAAAATAAAAATGAATGAGTCATAAACACAGAGACCATTAACGGATCCGTTTGATTTTTGTGCAACTGCTCGTTTCACCACGAAGCCTTAATCTCCTCACTGCTTGTTAGTCTCCAGGGGTCACTCAGTCATGGGAGACGAGGCCAGCTGTGAAATGGAAGCCCCCTCACTCACTGTCTCACCATCAGTGGGTTATAACATTCATTGGCAGTGCTTTATTAACCTCTGTGTGAGCAGAAGGAGCCACGCCCTCTTCTAAGACCAGATGTTATGGCCTTGATTAGCCGCGGTTAATTAGCACCGAAGGCTTAGACGCTTCTTTTAATGAGACTAAAGTGTGTAGAAGCTAGTGCTGCTTCAATGACAAGTCTCAGAACAATCACCAATGAAACAGCGTCTCACAAACATTCTAGGCAGTGTGGGTGAAGTGTCTTGCCTGAGGACACAACGACACAGGTCTCCCATCACAGTACTAACCAGGTCCTACCCTGCTTAGCTCCAGAGGTCTGACAGAATCCTGCAGCTACAGCCATCAGATACAGTATATATATTTATGGATATGGATATGAATGAATGACTATGTTTTTTATCTATATGTAGATTTGAATGTTAATGATTTGCTTGATGTGCGGCGCTTTGTGCACGAAAGGCTCTACACCAATACAAGCTGATGCTAAATATGGTAACTATCTCTAAGAAAACTATATAATTTGTCTAAAAGTACTGTATTTCCGTCGTTATAAAACACGCTCCAAATGTAGGACCATCAAAACTTTGCAGAAAACTTTCCCGTCTGAGTTTCCGCACTGGATTTTTCTACCGACTCAGTATATTTCACGAGCAAAAACGCAGTAACGGTTGTGTCCACAGCTTGAGTCCGGCCCTAACGTTGTTCTGAAGCGCACGGACAGCTGGGCATCCGTGGGGGGGAAGGGCCAGGAATAATCGCCTCTAATTCTGCTGAATAACGCCAGAGCGATGTGTCTATATATTAACTTATTACCAGCTGGTCCAGGGCAGCCTCCGCCAGGGCATAAATCTGCGGCAGCTATCTCCAGCAACGAATGAGCCATTATGAAGAGTGATGGGTCTGAAAAGTGAGGTGAATTAATGACTGACGGGCCGTATTTTAGCCCGAACGGTGCGACTCAAACGCATTCTCTTTTGGATTTGTTTTAAGAGACATCCGTCCACGTCCCGAGCCGGGAGATTTAGAGGACGTGGAAGTGGTGTCAGATGGTTGGAAACGGTTTGTTAAGCAGCTGGTGCGATGCCAACGACGAAAAGCGAGCGAGATAATTGGATAAAGATCGTCGGCCTTTATCATATGTTTAAGTACTGGAGAGTCCAGAGCAGCGTGAGCGGAAAGCTGAGAGCCGTGAATGTGAGGAAGTTTGTCCACGGAGCGGTTTAAAGCTGCGGTAGCTATCTTTAAAACCACAACAGAAGGATGTAATAACTAGTTGTATGCTCCAAAAACAGATGGTTCAATCCCTAGTTCTGACGCACACACACACACAGGTCTGTAGCTGGTGATGCAACACTGAAATGTCCCCACTGTGTAACGAATAATAACACACACAGATGCACATGTAGACGCACATAAAGGCATACAGACGCACACAAAGACACACACACACACACACACACACTCATACAGACAGACGCACAGACACACATCTGTGACATGATGGTGCCATGAAAACCAACTCAGACTCTGAGGAGCACAGGGACTGGCCTCCTGCTGGGACTCTGAGGAGCACAGGGACTGGCCTCCTGCTGGGACTCTGAGGAGCACAGGGACTGGCCTCCTGCTGGGTCTCTGAGGAGCACAGGGACTGGCCTCCTGCTGGGACTCTGAGGAGCACAGGGACTGGCCTCCTGCTGGGTCTCTGAGGAGCACAGGGACTGGCCTCCTGCTGGGACTCTGAGGAGCACAGGGACTGGCCTCCTGCTGGGACTTTGAGGAGCACAGGGACTGGCCTCCTGCTGGGACTCTGAGGAGCACAGGGACTGGCCTCCTGCTGGGACTCTGAGGAGCACAGGGACTGGACTCCTGCTGGGTCTCTGAGGAGCACAGGGACTGGCCTCCTGCTGGGACTCTGAGGAGCACAGGGACTGGCCTCCTGCTGGGACTCTGAGGAGCACAGGGACTGGACTCCTGCTGGGACTTTGAGGAGCACAGGGACTGGCCTCCTGCTGGGACTTTGAGGAGCACAGGGACTGGCCTCCTGCTGGGACTCTGAGGAGCACAGGGACTGGCCTCCTGCTGGGACTCTGAGGAGCACAGGGACTGGCCTCCTGCTGGTCCCAGAGTCAGGACTAAACATGGGGATGCTGCATTTCAGATTCTAACAGCTAACATCTAGAACAGTCTTCCAGACAACGTGAGACAGGCTTCTTCTTCTCTGACACTGTTTAAATCCAGGTTAGAAACAGTTTCTGCAACAACTGAAGGATTGTACCTTTACTCTCTTTAACGTACAGTGACTACTTTAATCCCTGTGTGACTGTTTCTCTCTTGTTTCCTTGTGTCTGAACTGTGCTATCCAGATAAACTTGCCTACCTTCATATTTCTGATGAATGTGTGTCTTATGCATCAGCCTCAGATTCTCAAACCTTTACTTTCTCCACATCTTTCCTCCAGAGGCGCCACACAAACAATGGAAACACACATGCGGTTGGACGGCACCACAAACTCTGATGCATTTATTCATTTCATATTTTCCTTTTGTTTTCCTCCGTCTTGGCGCTCACAGATCCAGTTTGCATGTTTGGTGTCGCGAACAGAAAGTGCCAATGCCTCACGCTCCGTTCCCCAAATGTCACAACAAGAGTAGAACAAATGCTTCGAGGAGAATGCGACGGAGAATCAGCCACGGACCAGAGCCTTTCTCCTTCATGGATAAAACACACAACGGGACACAAACCAAAACACAAACACGAACCGGCCTCGTTCTAAACTTATAAAGTAAACCTATTCAGACGTGTGTTCTTTCATCAGATGGTTTTGAGTTCTAAGACGGCAACAACAGCAGAAGATTTAATAGTAGTAAAGTTGTGAAGTTAATGCAGCTGAAGCTAACGCAGCTGAAGCTAACGCAGCCGAAGCTAACGCAGCCGAAGCTAACGCAGCTGAAGCTAACGCCACCGAAGTTAACGCCGCCAAAGCTAACGCCGCCAAAGCAAACGCCGCCAAAGCAAACGCCGCCAAAGCAAACGCCGCCAAAGCTAACGCCGCCAAAACTAACGCCGCCAAAGCTAACGCCGCCAAAGCAAACGCCGCCAAAGCTAACACCGCCAAAGCTAACACCGCCAAAGCTAACACCGCCAAAGCTAACGCCGCCAAAGCAAACGCCGCCAAAGCTAACGCCGCCAAAGCTAACGCCGCCAAAGCTAACGCCGCCAAAGCTAACGCCGCCAAAGCTAACGCCGCCAAAGCTAACGCCGCCAAAGCTAACGCCTAACTGGTCTCCTGAGTCCCAGCACTATTCATAACACGTTCCTGTTTTAGAACGTGCAATAACAACCGCAGACATGACCAACGCCATCAAAAGTCTTGAAACTTTAACTAAACGGTACGAGCCGCAGACCAATCAGCATCTGCCAATCACAGCTCACGCATCAACGACACCTGTTCAAACCACAGAGAAAAATAACTTAAATAACCCGGAATCTGCCATTTTAGTTTTTATTCTATGATAATAACACATCTTTAAATGAGCCGGAAAATGGCAGTGAGTCCTAAGTGTCTCTGAAACCGTTTTATTTGGTTATATGGTTTTACACTGGTCCAGACCAGAGCAGAGAGGATTCATGGTTTTACACTGGTCCAGACCAGAGCAGAGAGGATTCATGGTTTTACACTGGTCCAGACCAGAGCAGAGAGGATTCATGGTTTTACACTGGTCCAGACCAGAGCAGAGAGGATTCATGGTTTTACACTGGTCCAGACCAGAGCAGAGAGACTGGTCTGAACAAAGCTCCTCCTCTGCTGCTGTGACCTGAGACTGTTGTTATTATTATTGTTAGATACTTTTAGAAAGATGTATTTATTGTTATTTCTGCTGCTGCTGGACTCCTGCATTTCTCCGACACGGATCAATAAAGTCTATTTCTCTAACTTCCTGTGTCAGCAGCTGATCAGTCCGTCTTCAAACCACTGCAGCATCTCGGATAAATATAAGATCGGAAAACTGCAAGTTATGTTATCTATGTTTTTAAAGCGGAGCAGCAGAAACTCCAGATCTACTGCCTCTAAATAATCTAAGCAGTAAAACCACATTGGAATAAACTTGCTAAAGTCAGAGCTACACCCAGTCCACAGAGCACCAGCCCCTCAAGAGTCCTTAAGAATAATAATAATAATAATAATAATAATAATTCCAGCCATGTTGATCCATGTGTACCGTCCCTAATTAAATAAACTCAGACATAAATACATAAATAAGTAATAATATACAGTGGTTAATGCTTTCCTCTGTGGCTCTGCGTCCATCTTGTAAACAACTGTTGGTTAATTATGTAAATGAGAGTGCGCGGTGCAGGAGGTCGGAGGATGCAGCTGCCGCACGTTTGGGGGAAAAGGATTGGAATCTGGGAAAATCTGCACTAATCCTTTCAACGTGAATCGGACACGACAAAATAAGCCGCGGATATTTACATGAACTAAAGAGGTTTACACCGCGCTGTGATCCGGCTCCAGGACATGTGTTCACGGGAATCTTTAACAAATATAGGTTTTAAATATAAATATTACTGAAATCTGACCAGAACGTGTCGGACTGAGGACCTCAAATATCTGTGATTCTGAAAAATATTACTGTCTAAGAGAAACAAGAGAAAGACTTAAAGTAGAAATATGTCAATATACTGTATGTCATTAAAGGGCCCTAATCTGCCATCATTAAAGGGCCCTAATCTGTCATCATTAAAGGGCCCTAATCTGTCATCATTAAAGGGCCCTAATCTGTCATCATTAAAGGGTCCTAATCTGTCATAATTAAAGGGCCCTAATTTGTCATCATTAAAGGGCCCTAATCTCATCATTAAAGGGCCCTAATCTGTCATAATTAAAGGGCCCTAATCTGTCATCATTAAAGGGCCCTAATCTGTCATCATTAAAGGGCCCTAATCTGTCGTCATTAAAGGGCCCTAATCTGTCATCATTAAAGGGCCCTAATCTGTCATAATTAAAGGGCCCTAATCTGTCATCATTAAAGAGACACGGGAAGAACATGCAAACTCCTCTCAGAAAGGCCCTGTTCCGACCGGGATTTGAACCCAGGACCTTCTTGCTGAGAAGCGAGAGTGCTAACCACTCAGCCACCGTATTGCCTCGTGCCGTAAATCTTGATATCCCGCCCTCCACCGTTTCACCAATCAGAAAGTCTGTGATCCGGGCGCCAGAACTCACCGTGTGGAGCTAATCTCACTGGTAAAGTACCATGTGGCGCAGAACTAAAAAAGGTCTCGTTATGATTCTCAAATCATTAACGACAAAACAAGGAATAAAACCAGGATTTCTATCTTTGTGAAAAAGGTGTTGGTTATAGATTTGTTGTTGACAAAACTCTTGTCTATTCAGCTGTTATGGTCCCAGCTGGATTCGTCTGCATATCTGGCAACCTAAGTCAGGGAGAGTGGGAGAGGCTGCAGTACCACTTTTGGCCACATGTTTACACACGGCTCCTTTAAAATAAGAAGTAAGATCCCTCAGGGTGTGCAGATAGTAAAAAATAAACTTACTACTATATCCATTTCTGGGTCGGGAAGGTGGCCAGAGCAGCAGCTTCATTATCATTTAGAATCATGATTATTCTTTTCTGTTTGGGAGCAAAAGCCAGAGTTCATGAAAAAGGCAGGACCCTAAAAAAGTGCGGGACTCGGGGTAGATTCGATGTCAGTGTCAGAGTTAGTTCCAGAGTCGCTACAGTCGGAGGAGTCACAGATAATGTTATGGAGATTCATGCAGAAAAGTAAAGTGAATGAACAGAGCGGAGGCAGAGCACCTGAAGACCTCCTGAAATTGGCCACTTCAGTCGCGGTGATGAGACCTGCCACAAAACTCTCTACATTTCCATAAAAAGGTGAATGAGGCGTGAAGCAAACGACATCAAGACGTGCTCTGGAAACGGCAAGAGAGTGATGAAAAGACATGTGTTTTCTTGTTCAGTCATGAATCTATGATCGAATCTGGAAAAGTTATAGCAGCTTCAGTGGAGGATTATTCCACACAGAACAATGACGAGATACACTTTTGGTTATATTTTCAGAGGTCTCCCATCACAATACTAACCACTCCCTGCTCTGCTTAGCTTCAGAGGTCTGACAGGATGTATTTCAGAGCAAGGAGTTTGTTACTATTTGGAACAACATTAAAAATAAGATTACAAGACGCCAATTTCTGGACCCAAACCTGTAACAACATTTACTTCATGACCAATAACTCAAACCTACAACTCATACAGTTCAAAGTTCTTCATAGATAGCACTACACAGACCACAAACTTTCCAAAATGGGTTTCAGCACAGGAATATGCTCACATTGCACTCAGAATCACAGACGACTACCTCCACGCTCTCTGGCATTGCACCGGTCAACACTTTCTGGCAACTAGTCACTGAGTCACTCTCCTCCATACTCGGCTGCCACATCCCAATGTCCCCCTCCCTCTGTTTACTCGGAGACACTTCCACACTAGACCTCAATCAATACCTTAAAAAACAACTATTGGTGTCGCTAACAATCGCCAAGAAAGTCATTCTAATCAACTGGGAAAAAAAAAAAAAAACACACACATCACCACTTGGAAACACCTCCTGTTTGATCATTTATCAACTGAAAACTACTCACAGCTCTCTACACACACATCTGTCCATTCCTCTCCTTCCTCCAATCATAGCAACTGGACTCAACAATCACACACTATAATCCAATATCATGGTTAAATATCCTACAACTGCGACAACAAAATACTACAATAGAAAAATGTATGAAATGTGACGGTAATGATGACAATGGCACTAATATTGGCAATAGTGATTTGGGCAATAAATGATGATGATAATATTAATATTGAAATTGAATAATTAGAATAATAATAATAACAATAATAATGATAATGATAATGATAATGATAATGATAATAATAGTAATAGTAAGGGTAATAATAATAGCGAACACAAATAGCACAGGGCAAGTGGAGAGGGGCCTTTCAATGAGGGTGAACAACCTGGAGTTGTTAGGCCCCTCACATTTTTTAACGCAACACTAGCACAGGGGAAAACACAACATAAGTATTGTTATTGTCATTGTTTTCAAATATCTACTCATCTATTCTTTTTGTACGTTGTTTCTTTATTGTTAGGGTTAGTTGCCGTTTGATTGTCATAGTTATTGCATCCTGGTCTATATATGTGAAAGAGTATATGTAGGTGTACATGTTTGTATATATTTCTCAGCTTTATATCTCCCACAAGCTCAAACACTTACACACACACACACACACACACATACTTACCTACCCTAACCCCAGTAGTACCTTTGTTGTTTATTGTACTGTAACTATGTATTTTCCTGTATGCCTAAATAAAAAAAAATAAAAAAAAATAATAAGATTACAGAATTCAATGTTTCAGTAAAAAAAGTGCGTGTGTGTGAGTGTATACAGCGTGTGTGTCAGAGAGAGAGAGAGAGAATGTGTGTATACAGTGTGTGTGTGTGTGTGTGTGTGTGTGTGTGTGTGTGTGTGTGTGTGTGAGAGAGAGTGTTTAATAATGTGTGTATACAGTGTGTGTGTTTTGCGTCATGAAATAAGCGTCTTCCTCATTCAACCCCTTTTCAAACTGTCCCACTGCAGTAACAATAAATAACTAATAACTACTGTGGCTACTCCGAGCTAACTTCTGGGGCTAGCCGGCTAACGGTGGCTAGCCGGCTAATGGTGGCTAGCCGGCTAACGGTGGCTAGCCGGCTAACGGTGGCTAACCGTTAGCCCAGGGGTGCTCCCACTTTTTCAGCATGCGAGCTACTTATAAAATGATCAAGTCAAAATGATCTACCTACTATAAAAATGCAAAACATATATATATTTCTAAATATATTGAGGATTCTTTATATCTACAATGTATGTTGATGTACATGCAAAACTGCATGATTTATGAAATAATTTGCATTTAAGCACCGCCTCTGGCGGTCATCCCGGATTCATAGAACCATAGTTACATTCGTAACTTTCGTTCTGTAGCGGCACTTACAGTCATAGTAGAAACTCAGGGTGAAGACGTGTTATTATAGATCCATGGTGAAGACATGTGTTTACAAGCATTGACCCCAGTCCTCAGCCCTGGTTTGATCCTGGTTTAGCTCCTGTTTCGGTTGTTTTCGAGCGTGTGTGATCACTTTGCTGCTCTCTGATGTGGAGCGAGGATCGCTGCTGTGAACCGCTGTTAAGGCAGTATGATC